CATCCCCAGCCCCAGGGTGGCGGGCACCGTAGGCAGTTTGGCTGGAGCACGAATGCTGCCTTTCTTCTCACACTCGTCACGAGTTAGTAGAAAGCTGCAGCAGCCCGGATGCCTTCCTAGACATCCATTCCTCCTACTCAGCCTCCGGCACAGAAAAGAAAATAGCAGGCAGCGCTTCTTTCCGTGTGGGTGGAGGGGGAGAAAGGGCTATTGATAATGGGTTCACTGAAGCGACCCTGACTTCTTGGGTTTAATTACTATTTTAGTAGTTTCAGTGTAGCACTGGGTTGTATAGCTGCCGCAGAATTTGCTTGGTAGCTTCAGTGCAATGCTTTTAAAATCCTGCATTCTTGCTTTTGCTTTTTAGTGAAGTCTTTTCTCGGTCCTAATACATGCAATGAACCCATTCGGTAAAACTCGATTTCCAGAAGAGTGATGTGGACTGCGCACAAAATGTGGGACTATTGGAAAAGCAACATTTTCTGTTTGCTCCAGTCCCTCTGGCTTGTAATGGCAGCTTCTTACAGCAAGTGAACATTTGCCATTTGGAAGGTGGTGTGGTTTTTCAGGGGTTTTTTTGAAGTTGCTACTGTTTCCTTAAGACGGCTTTTTCCTCTGGATGAGAGGTGGAGTATCATCAAATCGTGGGGCTAAATCTTGCAATCAGCATGTGTACAGAACTGTCCTTTGGAGGAAATGATGCCTTGGTAGGCAAGGAAGGGGCTTGTCGTACCAGTGAATCCATCTTCCAACCAGAGCTGTGTTATCAGCAACCTCTCTGTAGGATCCCAGTGCTGTTTAACTTACTATGTATGGCAGCATGTGAGAAAATGTACAGGTGATTCATGTAACCATACTCCTTGTTTTTCTGGTTATTTAACTATTCTTTCTATCTGAAATACAGAGAGGTGTTTGTGTATTGCTAATAGAGATGTGGATGAAAGCTGCGTAATATGGGGGTATAAATAATATAATCTTTAAGTAATTGTGATCCCATTCAGTTTGGATGAAATTTTCTCTCCTTTCTGGGATAAAAAGCTGAAAAAAAAACCTTTCTGAAAGTGTCCTGTCTTTTTTCTCTCTAGAGCTGTGTGAAGAAATTCTTCAGCCATGGATGTGTTCATGAAAGGACTTTCCAAGGCAAAGGAGGGAGTCGTAGCAGCAGCAGAAAAAACCAAGCAGGGTGTGGCAGAAGCGGCAGGGAAGACGAAAGAGGGTGTCCTCTATGTGGGTAGGTGGACAGCAGAGGTGACGCTGCTGGTTGGTGTACCCTGACGTTTGCTGCTGGATCCTCATCAGACCTATTCTTCTGGGGAAAAAAAAGAAAAAAAAAATGTAATCACTAATAGGACACCATTGCAAAACAAACGAGGAGAGTTGTGCCCTCCTGAGCTCCAGCTCTTTGAAGCCAAATATTGGTTCTTATGTCACTGCGTTGTGCTGGCCACGCATTACTGCTCTGTGGAGCTGCATCTCTAACGCCATACCGAACGAGGTCACGTTGTGGGAGGTGCCTTCTGGTCCAGGCCACCAGCTGGAACTCGTATTCAAGAAGTTTGCTAGTTTAAGACTGAAGGGGCAGTTAGTAAAGTAAAATGAAATTAAAAAAAATAATATGTAAAAGCTGAAGTGGGAGGCAGCTTCACAGCATCTCATAGAACACATGGGTTTTAAGTGGGATTTTAAGAGAAGAAACTTGAGGTTAATTCAGGAACTGAGCATAAGCCATGCTGACTGCAAGGCATGTCGACAGTAACATTTTGTATGGCAAAATGTCATCTCCTCATCTTTTGAAATTAGCTGCATGCTCTGTACTTACTACTGCTTATCCATAGCAGATATTTTCCATGACTTCTCAAGGAAGAGCCACTATGGTTAATGAGGTAGGGCAGGTAGACCCCAAGGTAGCATAGCACTTGTTAAGTGACTTATCTAGGCCAAACAGGAGTCTTGCACAGAGCTAGGGATAAAATTATTTTCAAATCCCAGATCAGTGCTTTGATTGTGCCGATCATCATCTTTACGTAGGAATTTTGGGCTTTAGAGGACTATCTTGCAAATGCTGCCATGAAAAATGCCAAGACCATATGAGGTCATTTAAAAAAAATAATTATGGATCTGTTTCTCCTATTCATCAAATAAAGTTGGTCTATAAAAGAATGGAGGGGAAAAGATACTCTTTTCTGTAGGTCCTTTCTTTTTTGCTGGTTTTATAGCAGGTCAGTTCTGTAATGAGTGCTGTGTGTACCTAGGGAGATGTGCACAGGTATCAAAGTTAAACAGAGTTGAAAACTAGAGGCATTTCTTTTAAATGGGAGCACTGAGGTCTCTGCAATTCTGATGTCTTTTCAGGATTCCCTCTCTGCCTTTGCAGGCTAGTGCCAGTCTGTAACAAATTATTTCTGCTCCAGATAGTTTGGACTACTCATTTGGAATATGCTTTTCTCCTGCTAAGCCGTAGCAAAGCTTGGTGTTCTTGCCAACAGAGATGGCAGTCATTTTGAAAACTAATTGTAAGATGAGTCTATTTTAAAATGAGCATCTGCTCATTTTCAATATATCAAAATAGATGTTCTTTCACTGTACATTGTACTTGATCCTGGAGTTATTTTTCAGGCGTAGGGCTTTCTTTTTTTTTTCTTTTCTTACAGTTCCTGACCATGCTTCTAGAGTCATTGATTCACTTGTATGAGAAACCTGCATTGTGTGCCGGATTAATCTTTGTGTTTGGCCTGTTCTTCAGACCGTAATAATATTTGAACCTAGTTCTGCTCCCAAAGGCAACAGATTTCCTATTGTCTTCAGGGACGCTTTTGCTGAGGTTGAACTTTGGAGGGCAGGCTTGCTATTTATTTCAAGAATAAAATAGTGTGGACAGTGGAGCCCTGAGCTGTGGTGATAGGGGCCCATACATCTAACTGTAGTAATGGTGAAGGATCCTTCCCACAGCAAATGTCTGCTTTTCAGGGGAAAAGAGCTATATGCACAGTTTCAGTCTTGCAGGTGGAAAAGCCCTAAATTGGAAGGTGTCTCCAGGAGCTCTGGCAGCTCTTGTGTCCGGGTGCATGCCTGCCCGTACTTGCTTGCAGGGAGCCACAGTTTCCCAGCTGAGGTTTCAACAGGATCGATTAGGGCGAGGGGGAAACGAGGAGCTGGGTATTTCTGTCTACTTCCAAGCACACAGCAGGGGCAGCTCTTCTCCTGAGCAGCATTAGCAAAGGCTGGTGTGATAATCTCTCGGCTCTGTGGGCTGATAGCAGTTGCGATGCAAAAGGTGGTGAAACTCCTTTAAGAGGAGAGGAGCAGCACGCTGCCTTAGAGCTCCTGAGGGTTTCTCTTGCCCTTTCTCTATAGTTGGGTTTTCAGATCTGGGTTTCACAGCCAGGTTATGCTGTGAAAGCTGCCTGACATCTTGCAAAAAAACCCTAACAACATTGGACTGAGAGGGACCTGTTAATCATTTTCCATTTCGACAGTCAGCTCCACAACATTCAGCCTTCCATTGCTGCTGGAGAATTAATAAGATGCGAAGTCTTCGGTCCAGATCCCTAGGTGATATGGTCTCCACTATGAAATCAGTGGAATTGAAGTAAATGTTGAAAGCATCTGAACCTTTCTGTCCACGTTGCTGTTAGCTATTATGTGAAAGATGGTAACATAATTCTACCTGGTAAGAGTTCTGTTAACAAAAGCTACTGCTTGGGATGAAACATGAACATGGTTGTTGTAACTTTTTTTTTTTTTTTTTGGCACAAGAAAGGTTCCCTGTGGCACAGGGAAAAACTTAGAGCTAAGGAAGAGTGGTGTATTAGAGGTTTAACTGGGGATTTTTTTCCTTCTCCATGCTGAAGTCTGTTCTTTCTACCCTCAGTCCACTGTCTTTGTCCTGCTTTTTAACACCCCAGATACTGTTCAATATGATTGCAGAATCGCAAGTCCTGTGTAGAATGCTCTAGGAGAGCCTGCTTTAGCAGGGGGGTTGGACTAGATGACCTCCCGAGGTCCCTTCCAACCCTTGTGATTCTGTGAAGGGTTGGAAGGGACCTCGGGAGATCATCTAGTCCGACACCCCTGCTAAAGCAGGTTCTCCTAGAGCAGGTTGCATAGGACATGGTCCAGGTGGGCTTTGAATATCTCCAGAGAAGGAGACTCCACAACCCCCCTGGGCAGCCTGTTCCAGTGCTCCGTCACCCTTAGAGTAAAGAAGTTTTTCCTCATATTCAACTGAAACCTCTTCTGTCTCAGTTTGTACCTATTGCCCCTTGTCCTGTCGCTGGACACCACTGCCAAGAGTCTGGCTCCATCCTCATGACTTTCACCCTTAAGATATTTGTATGTATTGATGAGGTCCCCTCTCAGTCTTCTCTTCTTCAGGCTGAACAAGCCCAACTCTCTCAGCCTTTCCTCATAAGGGAGATGCTCCAGTCCCTTTATCATCCTAGTTGCTCTCCTCTGGACTCTCTCTATGAGTTCCTCATCTTTCTTGAACTGGGGAGCCCAGAGCTGGACACAGTACTCCAGGGGGGGCCCCGCCAGGGCAGAGTAGAGGGGGAGGATAACCTCCCTCGACCTGCTGGCCACACTCCTCTTATATAGTCTATGGTGTGTTTTTATGCTTTCAGTTACTTTTCCCCTAAATTCATCTGCTGATGGATTGGCCACCTGAAATCAGTGGCTCTGTCTTGACTCGTACAAGCACAGCATCGGGACCTTTCCCTATGCCAAAGAATGGCCTGATCATTGATTAGGAAGGAGGACTGGGACTCAGCAGTCTTGTGCTGCATTGTATGTGCCATAAATTTAAAGCTGGGGTCTCTGCACCCTTCAAGAGCTGCTGGTGTGAAACAGTGAGGAAATGAGTGGCAATGCTTACCCCCACTCGCTTTGAAACAAGTAACTGCGAGCAAGAAGGATGCTCTTGCGTGCTCTCTGTGCCATACTGCTCATGAGTCCCTCTGAGCTCTGTGTGGCTACCAGGGAGCTGAAGTTTTTGCGCAGTTAACTCGTGAGTGTGTGTTCAGTGCTCAGGAATGGAAGTTTCCAGTCTGATAATTTTTGATGTGTTATACCCTAGCAGAACGAAGGAATAGTTTATCAGGGGCAGGGTGGCTAGCGGATGAGTTGTTTACTACTGCCGGTGCTTAGCTGGCACATGGCCTTAGGGTAGAACAGTGCAGTCATGACCTATTTGGCAAGACCATCTGAATTCCCCTGCTGCGCTCTCTTGTCATAAGGTCTCTTATTTTCCTTTGGTAATAGAAAAGGCAGCGGAGTAGGCAAGGGACTCAAAGCCCATCTTCTGGAAGCTTTGGCTCTGATCTGCGAATGCATGCATGAGTCTCCTTAGAACGTTAACAGTAACGTGGTTTCCGTGCAGTCATCCATGTGAGTTTGCAAAGCAGGAGACTTAATTAACACAGCTATTAAGAAGATGGCAAGGAAGTCAGTACATGCAAGAAATAAGCTGCAGAAATGTTTCCAGTATTATTCACCTTTCCACAGTCAATATCCATTCATGCATTTGCTCTTTATTGATGGTTTTGCCTTTCCACTAGGTTGAATTATCTTGAATTAATTTTAATAAACTTAGGAAATACTGTATGCAACTATATGTAATCTATATATTCATCTCTCTTTATCATCCTTCTAGTCTTTACCAGTACTTAAGAACATGTATTTTCAACCTAATATTGTTTTTTGTTTAGGTTCCAGGACCAAGGAGGGAGTTGTTCATGGTGTCACAACAGGTAAGACAATTCTCTCTTAATTTCAGCTGCCTCCCTATGTTTGATTAACCAGCCATTTAGCTGTTAAAAATTCTGTGTATTTTTTTAAAAGCGCTCATGAATCATAGAAAAACTTAGAAAAATCAAGAGGCAAAAAGCAACATTCATTTTGTAAAAATGCATACACTATTTTACAATCAAATATGTAAATTTAATATAGTTGTTTCTGTGTGAGAAGGGTTTTCTGAGGGTTGCTCTGAATCAAAGTCAAGCTGTACTAGTATGAGGGAGACTAATGAAACCAAATTCCTAAACAGAAGGGAATAACTTGCTTTTGTAGAAATAAAGGATCTTTCTGTTGCTTGTTTATTGCCAAAGGTGAAATATTCTGTGCTGGAAAGTTAAATACTAGTTGGCATAAAAATGTGTGAAGTCTTCCTTAATTTTTTTTTTTTTTTTTCCTATGAAAAACATCAACCTATAGAAACTGAAAGCCTGGCTTGGGTGCCCAGGTTTGTCTCCTTGTGATCTGAGGAGGCAGAAAAGTGGGATCTGGAGGTGGCAGTGAAGGAGAGGGATGCCACTGAAGGAGGACTTCAGTCTGCTGATTTAGGAGCTCATAGTCAGGCAGGACTGACGCTGGTGGAAGAGATGGGAATTACTGCAACAAACAAAGGAGGGAAAATAATGTAGAAGGAGCCTCCTTCATACAGTAGGGGCTATAGGAGCTAGGTAGAAGGGAAGGACTGCAGGGAGCATTTACGGTTAAGGCAAACGAGGTCAGCAGTGTGTCTGTGCTTAGGTCTTTCAGACTGTCCCCAGTGAAGCCGGGATGTAAAATGGAGTTTCTCTTCCACGGTCACTAACTTAGCCCAGTCGTACAATCGCAGCTGCCGTTAGGCTGGTTGCTGTATAACTGCAGTATGGTGTAACTGTTGCATGACGATTGCAGCGTGACCCGCTGAGGGGATGAGCTCCTGTCAGGGTGTGCAACCACCCAGGCTTCAGGCTGTGGGGTGTGTGCATGGGGCTACGCCCTGAGCTGGAGGGCGATAGCCTGCACGCCTGCGGGAGGTGCAGCCCAGCGGATGAGCTGCTCTGCACAGTGGCTGAGCTGCAGGAGGAGGTGGGCAGACTGAGTTTGAGGGTCTGAGGAGGAGATCGCCCCATGGAGCTGTGCTCCGCCATCTCTGGTGCACATGAGCCAGCTCAGTGTGGCTGCTATGGAGGTGGGTCCAGGATGTGTTTTGTGCCAGGAGGAAGGAAGCGTTATGGGGGATAGGGAGGGGTGGAAGCAGGTTACTGCATGGAGCTGTGAGAGGAACCCTCTCCCTGCTGCCTTTACAGAATAGGTGCGATGCTCTGGGTATGGTAGACAAAGTGCGCGATACAATATAAGAGGAGGAACCTGTGTAAGTACCCTCACCAAGGGCACATCAGCCAACCCCTTGCAGCAAGACCTGCATTAAGACCAGTGCCGAGAAAGAAAACAACGGCAAGTTATGGTCATTGGTGACTCCCTCCTGAGCAGAACGGAGGCACCCATTTGCTGACCAGACAGTCTTCTCAGGGAAGTTTGCTGCCTCTCCGTGGCCCCAGTCGGGGATGTTACTAGGTGACTGATGAGCTTAGTACAACCTTCAGACTATTACCTGCTCCCGATCTTTCATCTGAGTACTAATGATGTTGCAACCAGAAGTGCAAGGTCGATCAAAAGGGATTGCAGGGCCCGGCAAGGACTGCTAAATGGTTCAGGAGCACAGGTAGTGTTTTCCTTAATCCTCCCATTAATGGGGAGAGACTTTGCAAGAAACAGGCATGCCCAAGGCAATGGCTCCAGGACTGCTGCCTCTGCCAGAACTTTGGTTTTTATAATCATGGAAGACTCTCTGAAACGCAGGGTCTGCTAGGGCCTGATGGGATCCCCCTGTCCCAGTGAGGAAAATGTGTCTTTGCTCCTAAACTGGCAGGACTGATTGAGTAGGGCTTTGAACTGGTACATCTGTGGCCGCAGAGAATTCCATGTGAGCTTCATACCTGAGCATCACCTGTGTTCTTAGTGGTTCTTCATCCCAGCCTGAGGTCTGCTTCCAGCAGCACACAGCTGGTGCAGTTTCAGATGAGGTGTGCTTGCTGCGCCCACAGTGGTGCTGCCGCGGCAGTGTGGACGTGCCCCATCGCTCCCTCCACTCCTATAAGATTCTTGTGACTCATCAATGCATCCCACTGGAGCTGGTTGGATGGGAAGATAGAAGGGAAATGGCTTACAAGAAAGAAGCAAATTTCAGAGTTTCAGTGAACTGATTTGAATTTGTCACTGTCGTGAAGGTTTTGAAATGTTTTTTTTGGAACTGCCTAATCTCTCAGTAGCAACAGCACTTTCAAACTTTGAAGTTAATGCGGGGCATGTATATTCACATTAGCATTTTTACACTGAAAAAGAGTAAATTTGCATTTTAAATTGATTTGCAGGGATCATTTTAGGTATGAACTGAAAGCAGTAACCAATAATTTGTAGTAAGTGGTGAAATGAATGGAAGTCTTTGATCTCTGCAGAGTGCAGGAAAACTTCAGCTGACCATAGTGCATGAATAGAATGTGTCATTTTCTGCTGTAGAACTTCTGGAGATCTGAAGAAAATGTGTAGTCAAGAAATTTAAGGTGTTTTTTTCCCTAAGAAATTAGAAATCAAGTAAGTAAGGGAGTAGAAAAGGATTTCTTCTTTCTTTTTTTCTGTGTACAGCCAGTGTATCATTCACCTGTGATCACATAAGCCAATGCAATGGATAAACCACTGTAGGTAAACTTAACTTGACAGTACTTAGTATCTGCTGAAGAAAGCCAACACAGTTTTGCCTTTACTTGGCAGGGAAAACAATTAACTTGGACACGGTTACCCCAAGGATTTACTAGTTCACCAACTATATTTTCACAAATTCTAAAGAATGATTTACAAGACCTTGTGTTTCCATGTAAATCTGTTTTGATTCAGTATGTGGATGATTTGTTACTTGGAAGTAAAACCAAAACCGATTGTATTTGTGATATCCAGTATTTATGTAGACAATTGGTAAAAAAAGGTCACTGAGTTTCTCCATCTAAGTTACAATTTTGTCAAACAAAAGTAAAATATTTGGGATTTTTTCTAAGTCCAGGAAAAAGAGAAATAGACCCCGAAAGAATAAAAGCAATACAGGAACTGCTGAGACCTACCACAAACAGCTGCGGGGTTTTCTAGGGCAGGTGGGGTTTTGCCTACCTTTAATTACACTATCTAGAGAGGCAGAAAAATAGGCTACGGGCCTCTCATAAGGTCCCAAAGTTTGCACTAATATTCCTTTTGCTATTACCTTTGTTTCATCACAATATAATTTAAAGGGTTTGGTATAATCTGGAAGACCTAAAGCTGACTTTAGAGTTTTAAAGGCTTTCTCTCTTTCTGGACCCCAAGCAATTGCTTCTATTTCTTCATTTCTGCTGGCTTCATGTAGACATTTTGCATATCACAACCCAAATATATGTTTGAGAAGTCAGTCAAGGGTATTTTTAGTAACAAAACTGAACAGAACATCTATGGTAGTCCTTCGGAGTTTAGCCTCAGGCTAAACATGCATGTTCTTGTTACGAGGTTTGAAATCTCAGCTTGTTAGACCTCAATTAAGAGATCATTACTATAACCTGCAGAAGACTGCAGTAGAATGAGATTTGAGGCACATGTACCTAATATCATCACAGATGTGGGAACAGCAACTGACAGCACTAGGCAAGCAAGCTAGCAGAGGTGATCTTCACCAAGCTGGGCTGTGGCAGAATAAAGGTCAAGGGCATTTGCGCAAGTGTGAAACTTGCTGAAGCACTGGGGCTCTATAGCAGGCTAACTTAGTGGGGAACTTCTTACCCTCCTGCTCCTGAGAGAAACAACCAATCCTGAATGCTGCAAGCATCCATCTTTGTCTGGTTGCAGTATGTGTAGTGAGATGGGAAAATTTAAGTAGATGAACAGAATTTTTGACGGGTTTGAAAAGATGTTGAGTTTTCTTCTGGAAGATACAAAAACAGACTATAAAGACAAACATAAGGAGAGCACATCTGTTACGTGCTGTACCTATGAATAGAAAATTCAGAAGAGTTACTGCAAATTTTAGGCAAAGCAATGGTCGCTCCTCGCCCGCTTTGGGAAACGGGTGACGCAAAGTGAAACACCTAAAGCTTGGGAAGGGTGGGTTCTGTGCCACAGTTTGCTGCTTCTAGCCTATTCAACTGTTGGAAAGGAGTTTGGCTGTTGAATGAAAACAGAAAATGAACAGAGGATGTTCGGGTGGAAATGCAGCAGTAAGGAGACCTAATGCAAAATGCAGTGAGTGCAGTTTCTAAAATGAAGCAGTGTGGGATTGGTAGTGTAACAGCAGAGGAATTGCTTGGGCATATATTTTAAATTTTTAATTTTTTTTTTTTAATTGCAAGTCTATGAAGAGTTGTTCTGGCAAGCAGAGAGGGTGGGTAAAACCAGATTTGGGTTCACTGTAGCAATGCTGTGAGATATAATATGAAGACACTGAGAAATGCTAGTGAAGTTGTCTTAGAAATCAAATCCATTTAAATCAATGCTATTAAAGTTGATGGGACAAAACTGCCTTTTAGGGCAGTTGTAAAGACCTGCTTGTCTCTTTTTATAGGACTAGGAGTTTGCCAGTTCTGGTGGTCTTATGATGCACCAGGGTGTTAATACCATATGAAACCTGAGGTGAAATAACACATTTTGTTATGTGAATAAAAATGTTTCAAGAGGTTGGAGATAGTCAAATGCACAGTAGAATCACGTATCAAAATTAGCGTGTGTCGCAGTTAGTTCAGTCAGTCTTTGCTTACTGCCTGAGTTCCAAGGTCTTGCTAGTTTTGCTATTTTTGAGTAGTTTGTGGTTTAAAACCCTTTGCTGGTGAAGGGTTGAGGAACTGACAGACCTCAAAGTGCTGAACAACTAAATGGTCAGTTGCTTTCCAAACCAAGCAATACTAGACTGAGATGTTTCTTGCTTTAAATGAAGTTATGACCTGATTTGTACCAGGTTTAGTGGCATCGAGACACTGTAAAATGAGGATACGAGGCTGTGATTCACAGGAATACAGTGAGCATGTTAGTTGTCAGGTCACCCTTTCTCAGAACTTCTGAAGGTGAAGAAGCTTTGCTTGTTGGTTTTATGGGGTGCTAGCTTGTGTATCTGACTTGCCTGCCTAATTTACATGTCTACTGGCCTTTGGCTGTAAATGCATAATTCATCCATCTTGCTTATCTCCCAGGGATAAATGTCCAGAAATAAACAGTATGCAAGATGAAATATTCACAGTCCATCTCCTGATAATCAAAGTAAAGCACTGGTCTGTACAAAAGATCAGGGCCAAAAAGCCCTTGATACTTCAGCCATGTGTCTGTTTCCTGAACCTGAGTCAAGCCACAATATCAACAGTTATGAACCATAGTCCAGCGGTTTGCTTAATTCGTTTATCTGATCATTCTGGTAGTTAACATTCTTAGTCATTGCTGTTGTATTTGTTTTAGTATTGCTGTTGTGTTTGTTTTAACTCCATCAGGTATCTTACAGTAAATTATAAGAATTAAAGAACCCCCCAATGTATTTCTGGTTGCTTTGTAAATTAATTCATCAAGTACCTAAGGCAACCTTATTGTCTGAAATACATATTCAAAAGTACATTTAGTGCAGTAAGAGTAATGTCAGTAATTCAGAGAAATCTTGTGGTTTTCATCTACTTTTATTGTTTAAAATGGAAAGCAACTAGTTCCCATTTTGAATTGCTCCAAAGGTTTCACATTGATATCGTATGTTACCCAGTTGTCTCAAACAAGTAGGGAAAAGAAAGCTTCAAAGCTAATAATTTTTGCAGAGTGCTATAGGCTGTATTGGAACTTCAGTTTCAAAGTTAGCCTTGGCATGGTCACTGTGTACACTCCCGGGATCATTTACTGGAATGGACAGTCTCTGCATAGATGGACACAAGTCATCAGGCCGTAGCACAGCAGAGCTCTGCAGGAGCTGATTTACTGTTTCTCCGCACTGTGATGCAAAGCAGGTCCAGAGGAGGGCTACAAAAATGATCCGAGGGCTGGAGCTCCTCTCCTATGAGGACAGGCTGAGAGAGTTGGGCTTGTTCAGCCTGGAGAAGAGAAGGCTGCAGGGAGACCTGATTGCGGCCTTTCAGTACCTAAAGGGGGTCTATAGGAAAGATGGGGACAATCTTTTTAGTAGGGTCAGCTGTGACAGGACAAGGGGTAATGGTTTTACATTTAAACAGGGTGGGTTTAGACTGGATATAAGGAAGAAATTCTATATGATGAGGGTGGTAAAACACTGGAATGGGTTGCCCAGAGAGGTAGCGGAGGCCCCATCCCTGGAAACATTCAAGGCCAGGTTGGACGGGGCTCTGAGCAACCTGATCTGGTTAGCGGTGTCCCTGTTCCCTGCAGGGGGGTTGGACTAGATGACCTCTAGGGGTCCCTTCCAACCCAAAACATTCTATGATTCTATGATCAGCTTTACAAAGACTTAATGGCTCAAGATCATTAAACAACCTGGTATTCAGATTAATTTAATTAGTCGGTGTCAACCCTCTGCATTCTTTGTGCACACTTAATGCTCTTCCCCTGTTACTACCTAGTGTAAACAATAAAATATATGAGACTGGAAGCCTATTTTGTTTTTATTTCTCCTGTTGCTAGGGTTCCAGAGCTGAAGGGTCACCAAGCTGGAGCTTATTTCCAGAGGCGCTCTGGTAATAGGGACTTTGATAGTGTTTAGGTATTCCTTATAGACAGGAAGACTCTCTTTCTCCTGCTGGTATGCGTGTGTTTGCAAATCTGTGCTATGTCTGTAGTTTGCTGGATTTATTGTCATGGCTCTGACTTCTGAAGCAGTCTATGAGAGATCTTTCGTGCTACCTTCTGTGTCAGCTTTCTTAGGCTGTGTCTGAAATAGAAGCAATCTTGGATATACTGCTTTTCTTACTACTTTTATCAGGTATCTTCTTGTGCCAGTAACAGTGTTAGTGGCCTGATTCCTTGCTTTTTTGTTTTGTTTGCATGTGGCAAGCCTTTCCTAGGGCAGTGTGTTTCTGGGAGGAGAAAATAGACTTCAGAACTTTCCCAAAACCCCGATAGTGTGAACAGCAGCCACTGGGTAGTTGGTCTTGGTACTTGGTTGTACTTGCCATAACAGCATAGTCTGTGAAATGTGCTTTTAATAGTGGCATCAGGAATTGGGTGTTTTATATTGCAGCATCCACAGCGCACCCAATTTCACTCTATTTCCTCATATTTTGCTTTTGAGGTGCAGGGTTTTTTAAGATCTTGAGATAACGAAACTAATTATGACTATTGACGATGACCCCAGTGCAACCATGCTTTATGATTTTATCAGAAGGGAGGAGTCTGCTTAAGAGTGGCTGAGCGTGTGATCCTGTGTCAGCATCAAGCCTACCAAATTTGTCTGGTTTAGATGCTCTGCCATTCAACGTATTTTGGAAAAGGGAGTTTTCAAAACAGTGTATGCCACTTCCATACCAAAAAGAAAAAAAAAGCAAGCCAGGAGAAAAAAAAAATATAAAGGTCCTTGATTTATATACCTCCTGTTGGTTTTGTTTTCTTTTTCATTCTCTCCCAGAAAGGAGACAGAGAAAAAAATAAAAAGCAATACTGAAACTTGTTCAAAACACATCTCTCCTCCATCTCTCCTTCTTTCTTTCTTTTTTTTTATTTTCGCAAAATGCTATCTTTTAAATAGCTCTCTTTGAGATTTCTTCTTTCTATTCTAAATAATATGAAAGTCTTAACAAGTTCCCATCTCATAATGTTACTCAGTTTGTTTCTGAAAGACTCTGTGCACAATCAGATCTTAATATTCCTTGGAAGATATAAGTGTTACTAGGACACAGACCTTAAGATGTGTGTTTGCAAGAACTTTCTGTATAGACTTCGTGTGTAGAATCTAGAACTTTTGTAGTCTGTAGCTGACGATAATCAAATAAGGCATCTTAATAGATGGCTTCCTGCACTTGCTAGCATTATGTCAAACCTTCCCTAAGGGCAATATTTGCTTTTCAGCAAAACCCACTTTTGATTTGGTTGGTTTTTTTTTTTTTTTTTCCTGGAAAAAGCATGGCAATAGAGTACTGGATGGATACAATAAAATTTCTTGTGAGTTTGTGTCTTATTGGGATGTATACGTTGAGACACCTTTGGAACAGACCGTTTTTCTGTTTCTAGTTTCAGACAATGTGTAGTCCATTGTTGTCCTGCTCTATAATGAAAGCTTCTGGTTTTGGTCATAAGAGATAATGCTCAATCAGGTACTAATTTTTCACTTTAAGTTAGTTAGAATGAGTCCTAAATGATCTGCCTCCATTTTCAGTCAGCAGATATTTATTATTTGGGTCTTTAAATAACAACAGTTAGGAAAAAGCTAGAAAGGTAAACAATGTGCCTGAGATGTGATTTTTATTGATGTCAATCATAGCAATCTCTGATGTGTGCCCTGTGATACAGACAGCTGATTCTCTTTATGCAAGGAATTAAAGACATCTAATTTACCTATAGAAAGTCTTCTCTTCATATGTGCTTCCCAAAAAAGTCTCTGAAAGTGTGGCCTATCTGCCAAGCAGAAGCCATCCTGTGCTCTTAAAGGGTACAAATAGGACTATGAATACATTTTGTGGATCAGATGGGATTCAGGATGAAGGAAACTATAGGATTAGTTAGAACTACAAAGCAAATCAGTGGATGTTTTTGAAGAATAGTTCCTTGTTTAGATGAGTAAATGTGGGGTTTTTTTCCGAAAATCTGGCTGTGTAACTTTAAGGCATGAAGTCATCCTATCTCTTTTCTTAGAACGGTTTCACTGTGGTGCAAGCTGCTGTCAGAAAGAGCCCTTGGGGCTGCAGAAGAGCCCAGTAATATTCTGAAAGGTAGAATGGCAACTGCTGATGTATATGTAGGCTAAATGAGTTGTTGTTTCCCTGGGGCTTGGAAGTTAGCTATTAATCCAGTTTGCTTTGGCATTCAATCTTTTTGTAGATAGTGTGTTATGGATGGACACATCAGCAGTGGGGCAAAAATCTCAGAGAGCCAGACAAAAGGCTGTATTAGAAGTTCTCTGAGCAACAATAGCTCTGCTTATTAGTCAAGTATATTTTAAAAAATAAACACAAAAGAATAATCAATGGCTTTTGAGTCTAATGTAAACAATATTGTCTTCCTTGCCCTGCAACATGCAGTAAGTGTTTGGTGGACTAATCGGAATGCAATTCCAAACTGGGATATATTGAATGCAATTATGATACATTACACAGGGTGTCAGGCATAATAAGGGCCCTTAAGTAATGATTTTTCTACCCTAAACCACAACTAGACGTGAATGAAAATGTCAACTGTCTGTCAGGTGGGAGAAATTGAGCATCAAATAAGGCTTTTTTTTTTTTTTTTTTTTCCCCTCTGCTGCTCCAGTGGTATCAGATGGATAGTCTCATTTCTTGAGATCCACTTGGGCTACACAAAATGTAATGGCCTTCTGGCTCTTCATGATGTTGGGCTGTCAGTGATAGATACGATTCTCTGAAAAACTTACAGCTCACAGAGCCATAATGTGTTTTTCCATCTTCTGCTTCTCAGTGGCTGAGAAGACCAAAGAGCAAGTGTCTAATGTTGGGGGAGCTGTGGTGACAGGAGTGACGGCGGTGGCCCAGAAGACAGTGGAAGGAGCAGGGAACATTGCTGCAGCCACTGGCTTGGTGAAGAAGGATCAGTTGGCCAAACAGGTTGGTTTATTTACGGTCTTTTCCAGATGAATAAGTGAATGATGAGCGGCCTCTCTGAACTGAAGGGCAAATGGAGTGTTTTCTTTTGTGTTTGTCAGTGGTGTGAGTGCAGGGTGATTTGTATTATGCTAAACAAATGAACAGCAAAGAAAATACCTGCTGCTTATAGCTTGTATTTTGAGTGACCTGCAGGATTTGGGAATTTGAATAGGATTGGTCACCCAGCTTTGCTCTTCTGAAAAGTCTTAACGGTTTTGGATCACTGTTTAAAGTATAATCTGGTGATTCTGAACTCAGCAGCCCCTAGTGGGGTCCAGCAGCTGTAGGGTGCTGTACAGTTGAAGGGGAAGATAACCATCTTTCCAAATAACTCAGGATTGAAAAGCAACCTGCTAGAGCTGAAAGGTCAAACAGCAAATTTCAGGGTTTTTTTCAGGCACAATTTGTATCCTCTGCAGACAAAGAGCAGAAGGGATCGTGTACCAATCCACCGACTGGTTAGATACATTGCATTTAAAGTCAAGATCTAGACTCAAAAATGCCCCCAAACTAGTCTGAACACTTCAGATTAAATTTGCTCTAGCTCATCCTATAAAACACCCTGTAGATATTTTTATTCTAGCACCAAGGTGGACATTAAGTATTTGCATAATACCAAGAGTTACTGCACTTTTGTTGCTGGTACGCTCTAGTCATATTCTTCCACTTACATTAGGTGAAGTGATTCCAGGTAGCTGGTGGGAATGATGCTTTCCAAAATGTGTATGGTGGTGTTTGGACGCAAAAGTAACCCAGAAGAGACAAATACCTCTTTTTGCACTGTTTTCTGTATGAACGTTTAAGTGTTAGAAAAAGAACATTAGTATTTGCACAAAAATATGGGTGTCATAAGGATTTAGCATGAAGTTCTATGGTGTACCTTATTTCCAGTTAGTGTCCAGAGGAGCTGTTAAAATTGAATCCTTACAATCTCTTTTTTTTACCCTTATCTGTTACTGAAGTGTATTTCTGTCTGTGTGACAAATCCTATTGGTGCTCTAGTTTGGGGGGAAAAAAAGGGGTATTGCGTTGTGGTAGACGTTCGCTCCACTGTGGTGGATTGGTCTTGAAAACATCTCCCAAGTGGTTTTGTTCTCTTTCAAAGCGGTTTTCCTGCGGGGCTTTTTAGTCCTTTTTTTTGTTCAGCTATAAGTAAAATGTTGTTTTTGATGTGGCCATGGTCCATTGTAAAAGCTATGTTGAGGATTTACAAAGTCAAGTATCTAATAAACTGCCAGGGGAAACATGGGTGTGGCATGGCCACGATAGTCTATGCTCCTGGTTTCTGCTAAAGCTCTTTCATAGTTTTTATGCTGAGAATATTCTGTTCTGTTCGTAGCTCTTCAAACTCTGTGTCATAAGGATCATCATTGCTGTAATATGCAATTACCTACTTTGGTATTGACCATACCTAATATTTTTATCTTAATATATACATATAGATCCTTATAAAGTATGAAGCAAATCTCTGCTGACTTTCATTTAATTCTGTTCTGTATATTGTAACGCTTAAATATGAGTCGTGATTGCTTTAACAGAATAAAATGACATCTGTGAAATTAAGAACATCCATAATGTACGTGCATATTATTCCATAGCCCTATAAATAGCATCATTATTCTGAACTGATGCTTTGTTCTTTAGATACGCAAAACCATTCATTTGATTCCTGATACCAGTATTCTTAGACTGAGATTCTCAGTTATCTGTGCAGTATGGCCATCTAGCTGATGAGTATCTATGGCTCCTACCGGACTGCTCTGCGTCTCTGTCTCTTACTGGTTTTGCAAGGGATGAGTAGCCATTTCAAAAATGTTAACACCAAAATTTCATCATGTAAAAGTATTCTGAAACCTAGTATTTTTTGCATTCCTGTGCAGTTCAGAGGCACATAAGATAGGTTTTTGCTTGGATTTTCCAGGTAAATGGGCAGTTGGGTGGGGACAAGGTGTGGGCATTCAGAATACCATTCGGACCCAGATCCCTTGTAGGAAAAAGTCTTTCTGAAATAAGAGAAGGTGCCAGCCAGGTATATAATCAAAATATCAGTGTAACTTTGTGTATTTTATCTCTGTAAGTTTATGTCTCTTAAGGCTGCGTTATCTCTAGTCTTCTCTAAACTGAGAATAAGAGACCACGACTGGAAAATTCATTCCTTGAGCTTCAGCGTGGCTAGCCGGTGCCTTTGGCAGGTTATTCTTCCTATGGACATCTGTTTGGAGCTGTCCTAAATCAAATGGCTGTGTATCCCATGTGCAAGGTGAATGCTTACCTTGCTTACACAGTATAAAGAAGTCATGGGGTTTGACAGGGAATTGCAAATGAAGCATATCCATTGGAAGTGGGTGGAAGCATGATTACAGGCAATTTTTCCACAGAAGGCTGAAAGGCTTTTGCCAATAATTTGTTCTTTCAGTTGGCTTCTAAACTTGTGACAAATTATTTCTTCCAGTTCACATGGACCAGCATAATCGAGTCCAAATCCTCCAACTGAACATAGCAAATGGTGACCTCCTGAGGCCCATTCCAATCTGAATTATTCTGTGAGCTGCTATAAACTCAACCTCCATGCAGCTGGAGGAGTTTGCTTATTTGCCGTCAATTACAGGATCAGGGACTGTGAAATAAATATAGAATCACAGAATATCTCAAGTTAGAAGGGACACATAAGGATCATCGAGACCAACTCCCTGCTCCTTGCTGGGATCAGCTGTTTCCAAACCTGTGTCTGGAAGCCCATCTAAACTCATGGCCATTGCTGGGATCTGCTACCAGTGATCTGCTCACCTGTGTGAAAGCCTGCAATCTTGCGTGGTGACTGGCTTTTTTCTTGCACCGTGATGGAAGTCTGGTTTTGAAATTGAAAACAGTCATAGTGTTTCTTCACCTGTGGATACAACAATACTTATGCAAAGGAAATAGAAGCAGATTCTTGGTAAATGCTTTCTCAAAGTTTGTCTGAGGTTGCCTAGTGCAGCCTTTAATATGGAGGCCAGGCTGGAGGGCTGTCACCTTCTCACCCCGCAGCCGGTGGAAGCGGGCAGTGCAGGGTGACAGCTGAGACCAGCGAGTGACAGGGTTGACTTGATGGTGCTCCTCCGAGGACTGCCTGGGGGGATTTATGCCTTAGGAGAAACTTAACACTGCAAGGGTAGTGGTGGTTAGCAGGCTTGAATTAATTATGAAAGGGTTAACCTACTGCAAGGAGCATTTTCATAAAATACAAAACAATTCTTAAGATTGCAAAAGTTCTTTCATGCATTGCCAGCACGCATCTACTCACAAATTATTTCTAATGCACACTAGTGGTTAGCATCCAGCATATTAAAAATGGATTAACTCGTTACAAACTAGTTGTAAACTTGAGCCTAACTTCAAAACCTGCTCATATTATTGTTGTTATTTATAATCATTGGGATTCTTCCTGGAAGCAGAAAAGAAGTTGCTTCTCTTTTTGATGCTTTTTTCTCTGTGTTAAGACAAGATGATAAGCTGAAATACTGGGTTATACAGATAAAACATTTGTTTTAAATTTATTCTGTGCCTGTTTTATTTCTGTGTATAGTGTAAGTGTGCTTCTAAATTAATTGAGTTTAAAAAAAAAAAAGGAAAACTAGTGATAATTGCATTTACTGTAGAAATTAATATGTTTTTTCCTAAGCTAAGATAGCTGTGAAATCCTTCGAATATTCTATTTTCAGCTCAGCATGAACGTATAGATCCAGATAGAATGGAGGGGTACTAGCTAGTGAATATCTAATTATAATATTGCCTAAGCACAAAATATGGATTACAAAGCTTGTTATTTTCAGATAGGTAATTAACTAATTTAAGTTCTTAACCTCACTAAATTCATGTCATGTGGTTCTCTAGCATCTCACGAATAAGTAAGTTGGTAAGTTCTATGACTTCTGTGGTGAATAATTTTATTTATGCTGTTCTAGCACCAACATCCCCAGTCGAGCAGAAACCTCAAGGTACTTTGAGTACCATGCAAAGGTACAGTCAGACAGACTTTGTGTGTTGTAGATCTTTAGTACTAAAGAGAGGAACAGGCCTTGTCCTTACCATGTTTGGGATCCATATGATCTATACAGATCGTGTTTGGTATCTAAATGTGTGAAATCCTTTTTCTTTCTAGAGTGTATCTTAATTTAATATGTGTACAGTAAATAGCACTGTAAACACAAACAAAAAATTACAGTAGCAGATGACATGTAGATAGATAATGTACTGACAGGGCAGGTAATATAGCTGCTTGGTTTAATTACCAAGCTTTCAGAGAAAAAGAAGACTGTAAGAGGGAAGGCTGTCAATTTAGGCATTAGGCATTTTTTTTTTTTCCCCCTGGAAAATATTAGTTAACTAAAGGCCCTTGCTAATTGCATTTAATATGACAATTATTGTGGAAGAATGAAAGCAATGGCAACTTTGCTGTACCTTTTCCCCCCCCCACCCCCCAGCCCGTATTTCCTGGGACTCCTTAAAATTCAGCGCCCCAGCACAAACATTCAGTACAGTGAACCCCACAGGTGGAGAGTATTTCTTACCTTTGTACTTTTCGTGGCCAGAATAGCTAGTCTTACGAACAACCGAATTTTTCTATGGACCATTATACGTTGCTTAGAGCCAGGGTGAATCCGCTTTGGGGAATCGCCATAATCAAACATGCAGGAGCCTTTTTTATCCTTTTTACAGGGAAGCTCCGTGCAACATTGTGCACTGCTGGGAATAAAGGCAGGATGAAGCACCTTTTCATTTTGATGAGATGTGAGCCAGCTCAGTTTTGATTAAAACACCAAGCATCACAGGGTACTCCAGCCAGCTATGACTTGTTCATTTGGGCAATCTTACTGGGAGAAGGGATGCAAACCCTGTAAGCGCCTCTGAATATTAGTCTCTCATTCAATGGCAGAATGGAGGTTTCTTTTCTGCTTTATTAAACTCCCATTTTTGAAATG